CCGCCCCTGGCCCCTGCAGCAGCCGCTCCTGGACCCGGTGCAGCCGTGGGGGGGTGGGTGTGGGGGTGATGGTTGTGGGGGTGTCGGTTGTGCGTGCCGTTCCCTCCTCCTCCTCCTCCTTCGTCTCCCACTGCTGCAGCTCTCGCTGAGGGGGGTGGATGTGTGGGAGTCTGGGGTTTAGGGTTTAAGGGGGTGCTGTGGGTGTAGGGCTAGGGTTTGAGCAGGGGGTGTGTGAGAAGGGCGTTAGGCAGCTGGGGAGGTCGAGTGGAGGCAGCAGTCTTGTCGTCAGCAGCAGCAGCAGTCCGGAGGCTACAATCTCCGGTAGTCGCCAGTCGCCCGTGGGTCCGTTGCTCGTCTGCCGCTACTTTTAGCCGCGGGGCCAGTTACCCCAGTAGTCCGGAGCGCTGTTCCGGTAGCCACTGAGCCAGCAGCTCGTCTGTGTGTCTGCAGCGTCAGCAGTCGCCTCCCATCTTCTCTCCCCCACAGTCTCTCCTCCTCCTCACTTGCCCTCTGTGATTAGCTCTAGCCTTACTTACCTATTGTGAACTCTTGCTCTATGCTTGCTCATTGTGCTGATTACACCCCACTTTGGCTATGGGGGTGTGTCAGAATGTATTTGCTGTCTAGCCTGCAGTGGGGTACTCTGTAATGAGTACAACCCAATTTAGGGTGTTGTACTTGTATCCCAACTCTTGCTAGTGAAACCTCATTCCTCTCCTTCCAAACCTCTCGATACTTTTCCTAAACTCGAACTCAACTACCAAGGCTCCTAAACTATGGCTCCCAAGCCCACCTAACTCTACCTACTTCTCTCACAATACCAACGTTACGTCGCCCTGAACGTCGACGGGGAGCGAAGGGTGAGAAGCCGGCGTCCATAGCTAGCGGAATATAGTCACGCGATATGATTTAAAGTTGTGCAATGTGTCTCTTGCATTGCAAACTGGCCTTAATGTATGCCAACGCATGGCAACTCTGATAGAGAATACATCAAATCCAACCCCTGCTCTGATGTACAGGTGTAAAGTGCAGTAGCTACAACGCAAGAAACGGTCGACCAATCAGGTATCCAGGCTAGTCTACGCTGTAACCCGCATCCGACGTGGACGTGACGTGTCCACGCCAACGCTTGATATTATGCGCCGACTATTAGTACCCCTTCGCCGCGACACTCGTGCGTAGGTTGTGATAGGCGGTTTTTCGCGCTGTCTGCTGTGTTTGGATGCTAAACCAGAGGAGAAAATATCCTGATTGGTCGCTACAACAGTGTGCTATTGACGTGGAACCCCTCCGTTATCGACGCGGCGCGAACGCATTTACCCCTATGTTTTGATGTGTTCAGTTTGTAGGTGGTCAACATGGCGCCTCAAAAACGGGTTCGCGTAAGACACGGTGAATTTGGGCCATGCATGTTTATGTCACTGATTGTATTATTCTTCATGCTCTATGCATGCGAATTGTAAAATTAACCGTCACGTTAACAACATTTCCATATGTCAACAAAGCAACCTCTCCAAACAATAGCACACAATATAACAAGATGCGCAGAATGTAGAACCAGTCACAGCCTGAGGTCGAACTCCGGGTGATAGTCGTCCGGCCTATTGAGGTCGTAGTCTTGGTATACGAGGCGGAATAGCGGAGGGGTATCATGGCCCAGAGGAACTTCCCAAGGGTACACGCACATGTGTTTCCCCATGTTAGAGGACCAGAAGGCCCTGTTGTGCGGGGGAATCTCCCACCATGCAAGCATGCCTAGAGAGTGTGCGAGAACGCCAGCAGGCATGCCGTCAACACCGCCAACGTGGCTGAACTGACGGTATGGGTAAAGGCGCGGCTGTTGGATTTTAAATTCTGCAAACTCTTTGCGCGCATCCTCCGCGCGGAAAAAAATGAATCGCCCATCCTGTACCTGCAAAATGTAACTGCTTCCAAAAGTGTTAATGATGTGGGGTTCGTTGATATTATACAACGCGCTGAGCGTGAATATGAGCACTCACCACCCAGCCCTCGCTCATGGAGAAGCGCGCGCGAAATAAACGGTAATCTTGCAGGGGCGCAATCTCGGTCCGCATATCCGCAAGACTGGTCGCCTCATAGTTGATTTTTTTTGTACCCGTGCTTAACCATTGCGACGAACTGCGTTACCGCCTCGTTGAAACCGGGGCCGTCACGAGAATCTTTGATGACGGCGTTGATGCATCCCTGGTCCAGGAACGACAGTGGCGCGTTCGGCGACATGCATCGCGACGCTCGGAGCCTGGCAATGGCGAGGCGGCGCTGCGTTCCCGCGCTAGCGTGGCGCTCAGGCACAAGATGCGCGACCGAGTCGTACAACATCTTGGGAGTTGGAGTTCCGCCGCGTGCCAACACCCGGCTGTACTCGGCTTGCATTAGCACCGATGAGATATCAGGGAAATCCCGGACAAGCACGGAAGCCGATGGCGGGCGTGACAAAGCCGTGCTAAGTTTCGGCCAAGTGGGTCCACGATAGAAAGATGAGCGACTATGGTCTACGGGGTCGTGCCTGCTGCGTCAGACAGCAGGCCTGGCAAGAAGCGCTGTGAGGGCGGGACTAGTATTCACCATTCTAATGAAGCGGTAAGATCAAGAAAGCAGATGAGGCAAAGTGGTCACTAAGTGGTGAACTACAACAACACCCCTGAAATGAATGTCGCGAATGCGGGGCGCGGAAAGATGAGCATCCGACTCGACATTGGGTTCTTCGGTAGCAGCGTCTATTTTTTTACACAACGTAACTGTTAGGACCTTAAACAGGCATCCCCTAAACCCATGACGCACCACACTGTTAAAGACCCGCCCAGTGTTCAATCATCCGTAACCACGGGTTGGATCTTCCACCACTCTCTGTCAGGGTGACGTGTAATTCCGTTCAATGTCAGTCAATCCTCACACGCAGAACTGACTACCGGCTTGGATGGCTATTTCTGGACGAATCAGTTTCCGCTCAACATTTTTTTTGTCCAATTGTGTAATAGAGTTACCGCTTTCTGATAGGACAGTCATGTGGTGACGAATCTTTCCCGTCAACATACGGGCACACAATGTTCTACGAGACATAGCCCGTTCCGATTGGACTGCAGCAAATCTTTTTCCGGCAACACTTTATCGTCCAATGGTCGCAGAAAATGTACGTTCCACACGCAGAAGATTCGTCGCGGACGGTACTGATTCGTCGTGGATTAGTGTTTACGTGGCAGCGACGACTAATAATGCAAGAACTTCAGGTGCATCGGAGAGAACCGGGGCTGCACCCCGGATGCCTGACTTGTGACGGGAACTGCTCGCATCCCCGTACAGCGTGCTCGCTTCAAGAATGCGAGCTATGCTGAGTACCAGACGTATAAAATTGTGTATAAGTTCAGAGTATACAATCAGTATACCACCACGGTGAAGATTGGCTTCGCCCGTTTTTGCTGTACAGTTTCTGGCTGTACGATGGCACCCCAGGTTGCCCTATTCGCCTGTGAATGGTGCCTCACGCACTTTCGTTCGTGCTCGGCATTGTTCGCCCACAAGCAACGCAATCGTATGTGCCTGCGGTTACGATCACGCTTCAATCGCAACTACCTTGCTGTTCTTGGTAACGCATAGGCGGACAACGTATCACTGCCTGATCTCGATTCGGACGGAGAGGAAGTTAATGATGTTGACGACGCGCCGCATGCGGAGCAAACGGGCGATGCCCCTACGGTGCGTAGTACTCTACACATGGAAGCTCACGATCTTTTATTTGTAATACTTTGTTTGCTGAATCTTTATGGAGTTGCCGTGTGACAGGAGCCCACGATCGAAGATGAGCCGCAGACAGACATCGATAACGAAGGTGGCGGCGACCCTGCTGAAGAAGAGTGTGACTCCGTTGGAACTAGCGGCGATGCGGATAACGTCGACGGGACGGTCGACAACTTCGACACGCTGCTCGAGGTGTATAGGTTCATCGTCGGCTGCACCAATGGCGCCGGCTTGTCGAACGCAGTATGGGCTGTCGCTGATGATGCAGCAAAGGGAATACACCCGCAAGACCTTCCAGGTTCCAGGCTGCCCCATCACATTCGAGGTTATGTGCGCGAACGGCAAGGAGGTTAGTGTTCATCTATCTCGGATGAGGTTTACATGCAGCTTGACATGGCACAACACTGTGATTCTAATCGACCAGCTTGTGCGTATCTGTGCCGCTCTGTTTGATCACGTCCCTCGCTACAGGTGGTCTTAGAGCTATTCGGTCATCCAGACAACGCGGAGGGCTTTGTTCTGTATCCCGAACAGCACACCTCGGGTGCGGGGCGCATCTACACCACTCCGCATACGGCGGCGTACTGGGAGAACGCGAAGGTATTGAGTCCGAGATTAACATGTCACATTCGACGCATGTTCAGGCATACACCACTTACACTAACTGATGTGCATCGTCACAGGTCGTTGTGACCGAGCAGTACGGGGAGGGTACAGTTGTGGTCCCGCTCATCATTTCAAGCGACGCAACGATTCTCAGTGGAAACGAGCGCACCAAGGCGTGGGCTGTCTACCTCTCCATTGCCAACATCGCTCTGCGCAGGCGCTGGCTCGACAGTGGCAGAATTTTGCTTGCCATGCTGCCGTTCCCGCCGTCAAGCGTATCGTCGGCTGTGAAAACGGCGATCTTCCAGGCTGCAATGAAGGTCGCCCTGGCGGACCTCATTGTGGCCTCCCACACGTAAGTGACAACACGTGCATGTAATCTTTGTCGCTTTGACACCTCTTTGATTTCGGGAGCATAACGTTACCTAGAGCGTTGCCTACCCTGCTTCTCTATGGTTCCGCGCATATGCAGAGGCTTGGCGGCAACAGACCCGAGTGGCATCGAACGATTCATCGTGCCAACCCTTTTCTCGTATGTCGCTGACTATCCCGAGACCTGCAAGGTCACATGCACGCAGCAGCTGGGATCGACCATGCCATGCTCGCTCTGTTATGTACGCCGGCAGCACATGCGAGATATGCAGCGAGCTCCGGCCGAAGATCGCTCTGTCGAGATGCAGGAGGCCCTGCTGAGCGATCCTGCGCGGGCGAAGGAGTACGCTACACACTGCGTTCAGGTGAGGTCTCCTATGGCAGTGCTCTGCCACGCCGCGTTCCGGACCTCGTGTTGTTTATCGAGTGCACTTGGCACTGATGAAGCAGATATGTTCACTCCTGCCTCTCATGGTGTAATTTGCTACCCATATGCCTTCATTGCGTGACGTACGTCCTATGTTTGCCCACACAGAGCTTCCTTTGGGAGTTTAACTTCAGCCGAACGCCCTGGGGCAACACGTACCTGTCCCTTATGCCGGACATTCTGCACGCCATCTATCTTGGATGGTGGCTGTACCTTCGTGCTGCCATTCGCGGCGAGACCACAGATGCGTACTTGAAGGACGAGTAAGTGGGCTGTTTATGGCAGTACCCTCCGTACATCTACCCCTGGCATTGACTGACGTGTGCCAGCGCCGATGTGTTTTGCTGTGGTCCTCAGGCGGATGTCAGCGCTGCACCGTGGTGCGCGACTGGCTGGAGTCCGTGTGCCCTCTTCTGGTCAGTACTGGGCGTCTGGTGCTAACTTCACTGCGACAGAGCATGCGGCGGTGATGATGGTGAGTTCTTGCTGTTATATACCCGGCATACATACCTGTAGTCGCGCAAGCCAGGCTCATCTGTTTACACCCCTTCCCCCTATTCACAAGTCGTGCCATTTTTTTTGGAGGGACAAGGGGCTGAGATCAACCGCCGCGCCATTGTTGGCGTGCTGCAGTGGCACGAGTCGTGTATCAGGGGAGGCTCGCACATCGATGACAGCCTGGACGAGTTTGCAGAGGCAACGAGAAGGTACGCACTGGGCTTGCCCCTTCCACCTGCTTGTATGCCGAGTGTGGGTGAAGGCTGTTGTTGTGTGCAACTGAGTCTTCCGTTGTGTGCCATTTTATCCGATGCCTTGCTCCATCATCCCAGGATGGTGCAAACCGTGGAGGCTGTTTTTCCGCGCGGGGGCGAGGGGTATAACCTCGTGAAGGTTCACCTGATGACACACCTCCCGGAAGCGGTCAGGCGAGGTGGCATGCCCCGGGAGTTCTCTGCAGCGGTGTACGAGAATGCGCACATTCGCACGTGCAAGCAGCCTTACCGTGTGTCGAACCGCCGCCAGGTGGAGCAGGCGATCGCTGATCACAACACAACGGCCGCAGTCTTGGCGAGGCTGCCTGGCAGCCTTCCTCCACGCAACACCAACCAGACCGCCATTATGAAGGTATGGTCCTTGCGTTATGTAGGTATTGGACGCCATTGGTAGGCTATGCTCTTGCAGTTGGGTTGTAGAGTTACTGACCCCCCCCTAAACCCTCGGTTTTCACGGGCCATCGCAACCGGGAGCCCGCAGCTGACGCGTGCGAGCAGGCGCTTCACGCAGGAGTTCGTGGGCGCAGCGAACTCAATCTTTGCTGAGTACAACGAGGCCCTGGAAGGAGGCCTGGTGTTCTATGAGGATGTCATGCGCGCGGCGAACCTGGTCCCTTTTCCCGCCCAGGTGCGGCTTGCTTTGTTGCCTTAACAACACTGTCGTCGAGCACGTCCAGACATCATTAGGGTGCAGTAATAGACGTGTGGTCTCATACAGTGGCGGGCAAATCCGTGTTTCCACCCTAAACCGTGTGCACTAATCGACCTCATTGATTGTAAGCAATAAACCCTTGTCCCTGGTCCCTCTGTTTCTCCACCCCATACACAACTTTTGCGCCAACCCCAATCTACAGGTGCACAACGGATTGGCCTTACCGCCCGCCCCCACCGACGAGGGGCACATCAAGCCACACTACGCCAGGGCTGCCGTAGAGCTGCACGGACAGCCCGCCTTCTCGTGTGTGGAGTACGAGCGAGATGATGGGGCCGCCGCGTTTGGCAAGCTATGCCTCCTGCTCACGGCGCAGAGGAGTGGTGCAGATGGGGAGAGTGGTCCTGCTGAGGTGGCCGTACTGACGAGCTTCCTGGAGGTGGGACATGATGACTGCACTGGCTGCACCATGCTCTCACCTGTCACCATATGGAGGGGCCTGGTGGTGGTGCCATTGCATCGTCTGGTGCGGGCTGTCCACTGTGTCCCTTCGTTTGAGAACCCCGATCTCTGGTTCCTGAACAAGTGGGCGTTCAGGTGCCTGGAGGACATTCACTGATTCTTGAAGGCCCTGGTTAGGCCTTGATCACATGCTGGCCTAAACATCCAAGCCCAGCAGCATGAGCATGTGTCTGGTGGAAACTATGGTGCATCTTGTCCTTGCTCTTCTCCCCCCCTCCTCCTTCCCCTTCCCACTCCATTCCTTTTGTGCTACGATATCATGTCACACCCACATCTTGTCTTTTAAGTACTATCATATGTGGCACTCCAAAATGTGGCCCCTGTATGTCAGCTGCTTTACCATCTGCAGTATATGTATAACTATATTAAATAATTATATTTTAATTACTGGTTTTGTACACAATCATCTTACCACACATATACACCAAATTTGTACTCACCCGTTTCTCATCATCACTACTCTAACGAGGCAACCGCCTCCTCTGGCTAAGGGCCGGTAATGTTTGTGAACACCTGCTGGAACTTGGGAGGAACCCCGCGACTGCTGGAATGCATTTGGGATTGTATATGGAGTGCGCATTCTATTACAACGCGAGGATACCTGCTAGAACTCCGATTTCCAGAACCTGAGCATGCCTAAATTCTTTGGGACGAGGCCGTCGGGGTCAGCCTTACTGCAGGCAGCGAGGGTTTTCACGGCCATCAGCAGTCAGGTGTCAAGAGAAAGCTTTGAGGCTCGAGGAAGGGGGTAGCAACCAGCTGTGAGTAAAGAACGATGTGATTCAACTGAAATGAAATGGGTGTCAGACTGAGTTTTGTACTCGTAGCTACAAGAGCAGCATGGTTCTGACAGGATGCTGATGAGCGATCCGTTTACTGCCGAGCCGCTCTAGTTGACCGCGGCAGAAGTGGGAGTTCCGTTGGCAACGGGAGTTTCAGGTTTGGTGCCGAGGCTAGGGTTACGCTTTGCCACGGATAACGTCGATATGGCATATCTAATGGCATCCGAAGCAACAATGTACTTGCCGAAGTTCCCGCAATGCTCCAGCAGAACTCGCCACGGTGGTACATCCGGGCCCACAAAAAATGGAAACTGTGGCTCAGAATGCTTTCGTGGAAAGTTATAGGCCTTCGAAGCATGAGGGTAAGACAAGTCATACCTGGGCTTAGCGTTCCACGTCATAGTTTATGCGAATCTGACTCAGGTTAGCGCTGACTGGAGGAAATGACATGGCGTTTGGACGACACGGGCTGATGACGAAATCACTGACGCGACCTGGGCTAATCGATCCCGATGTAAGGACTGCGACGCGCTGCGGCTAAGCGGACAGCCGGATCTTTGAGGCTTTGCTAGCGGGTTCTGCGTCAGGGTCTTGGGAATTGGTTGGGGGTCTTAGGGCGTGTGTCCATTTTGCATTTCCTTGATGTTACATTTGAAAACGATCGTTCGGTAAACGGACGGTTCCATTTCCCGATTGTAACCGTCAGTTTCCCGAAACAGAACCTTTGAAATCGAACCGTAGAGTAGAACTTTTTTATGGTTTCGACAAGTTGCGACAAAACGCGTCAACCTGCGACAATGGAGTGGCAATGTCGCCTGCTGACGCAAAATCAGTCTGTTTTCGCACGCCAACCACAAGTCGCCAAAATCGAGCAATCCGTTTATGACGAGCCGTAACCGATTAATCGCTCGGTTCCCTCCTTTTTCAACAAAAAGTTCCACACGGTAATGTTCCGTGTGCGATGTCGCAGGGTTATCAAAAAAAATTACGCGAATACTAGCGACATTAGTTACCACGATTTCGAACGGACGGTCCGAAAAACGAACCGTCGTGTGCAAAATGGACACACGCCCTTATTTTAGGGCTGCAGTGAGCTGCGGTAAGGTCGAGGGTGTGCGAGATGTCAAAACATATTGTTCTGCTTATTTCACTCTAGGTTGTGTAGGGTTCTTTCCTTAGAGGGTACAACAATCTCTCTCGATAGTCCTTGTACCCCCCCCTTACCTAATCGAATTCACTCATCTAGCTAGTAACTCTAACATGGTATTAAGAGCACAATGCTCCTTAGGACCGAAATTTTAAAAGGGCCCACCACTACTATTTCGACCTGCTGCCCGAGTCGCGCCCCTAGGAGAAACGCGAAATGCGAAAACGTGCCCTAGGCGAGACGGTTCCCTTTTCTGCCTAGACGCGATTTTCTGTTCCTAGTCACGTGCGACCCCCCTGACCGAGCCCTAGCTGCCCCGTGCGCCTCTCGCGCGGCCCGTCAGCCCCTACGCCCGGTCCCCCCTGTCAGAACATTATATAGCTTATGCTGTTGTGTAGGCTATAGTGGGGTATCCCATAGGGGGTACAACCCAATTAGGGTTTTCTATATGTACTCACCTCATTCATAGTTCATTCATCCTCGTTCTTCATTCTTCTCATGGTATCGAGCAGGTTCCCTCGTGGGAACTGTTCCTAGGGCCCACCGTTTTTTTTTCCTGCCCGGAGCGCACTCTGCCCCTACCCGAGTCGCGCTCCCCTCTCTCTTGGCCCCTAGTGGCCCCTTTAGCCGCCCGTCACGGCCCTTAGACGCCCGCGCGCCGCCCGTCCCGGCCCCTTAGACGCCCGCGCGCCGCCCGTCCCGGCCCCTAGACGCCCGGCCCGGCCCGGCCCCTAGACGCCCGCGCGCCGCCCGTCCCGGCCCCTAGACGCCCGCGCGCCGCCCGTCCCGGCCCCTAGACGCCCGCGCGCCGCCCGTCCCGGCCCCTCGACGCCCGCGCGCCGCCCGTCCCGGCCCCTCGACGCCCTCGCGCCGCCCGTCCCGGCCCCTCGCCGCCCGTGAGCCGCCCGTCCCGGCCCCTAGACGCCCGCGCGCCGCCCGTCCCGGCCCCTAGACGCCCGCGCGCCGCCCGTCCCGGCCCCTCGACGCCCACGCGCCGCCCGTCCCGGCCCCTAGACGCCCGCGCGCCACCCGGCCCGACCCCTAGACGCCCGCGCGCCGCCCGTCCCGGCCCCTCGACGCCCGCGCGCCGCCCGTCCCGGCCCCTCGACGCCTGCGCGCCGCCCGTCCCGGCCCCACGCCGCCCGTGAGCCGCCCGTCCCGGCCGCGCACCGCAGTCCCGGCCCCACGCCGCCCGTGCGCCGCCCGTCCCAGCCGCGCGCCGCCGTCTCGGTCCCCACGCCGCCTGTGCCGCTGAGGAGCTGAGCCGCCCGAGCCGCCCGAGCCGCCCGCACCGCCCGAGCAGCCCGAGCCGTGCTGCCCCTCAGCAGCACAACCGAGCCGCCCGACAGCAGAGCAGCCGAGCCGCCCAGCAGCCGAGCCGCTCAACAGCCGAGCCGCCCAGCAGCCGAGCCGCCCAGCAGCCGTGCCGCCCAGCAGCGGAGCCGCCGAGCCGCCGAGCCGCCCGGCAGCCGAGCCGCCGAGCCGCCGCGCCGCCCTCCTTCCGGGCCGCCCGACCTGTCCAGTCTGGTGAGCACAGCGCCCTTTCACTGCACTGCCCTCACCCTACTGTTTGCGCTGCCAGTCGTCTAGGGTCATGGCTACCCCTAGTGTTCTAGTCTTTGACGCTGAGGGTCGGGCCATTGACTTTGAGGTCTGGGTGGATGACCTGCAGCTGTTCTTACAGTGCGATAGGGCAGATGGTCTCTCTCTCTTTGACCTCACCTCTGGCGCCTCCACTGCCCCTGCTGCTGACGCCGACGCCACTGTTCGCTCCCAGTGGGCCACGCGCGACGCTGCTGCACGTCTTGCTGTGCGTCGCCACCTCCCTACCTCCGAGCGTGCACACTTTAGTCAGTACAAGAGTGCTCAGACCTTGTACGACGCTGTAGTTGCGCGCTACTCCTCCCCTGCCACTGCTGCACTGAGCCGTCTCATGCTACCGTACCTCTTTCCTGACCTTGCTGCCTTTCCCACAGTCGCTGACCTCATTACGCACCTCCGCACTAGTGACACTCGCTACCGCGCTGCACTCCCTGCTGACTTCTGCGCCAAGAACCCCCCCCCCATGTACATCACTCTTTACTACATAGTCACTCGCCTTCCTGACTCCCTTCGCGTAGTCAGGGACCACTTTCTCTCTGTCTGTCCCACCACTCTCACTGTTGACCTCCTCGAGAAGTCCCTCCTAGCGGCCGAGAAGAGCATAGTCGCTGTAGGGGCCTCTCGTGGTGACCCGCGCACCCCCATCTTTGAGGGGTGTTCCCCCTCCCCCCTTCTGCCCTCTGTTGCCTCTGCTGCTGCGGCCGACCTCCTTGGTCTTGAGTCGGTCGGTGTGGCGTCTGCCCCTAGTGGGAGACGCCGCTCTGGCAAGGGCAAGGGGGGCAAGGGCACTGGAGGAGCGAGCGGGGGCGGTGGAGGTGGAGGTGGCGGCAGTGGGGGGAGTGGGGGTGGCGGTGGGAGTGGAGGTGGGGGTGGAGGAGTCGGTGGCGGCAGTGGAGGCGGAGGTGTCGGCGGCGGTGGCAGTGGGAGCGGGGGTGGCGGAGGTGGCGGCGGCGGAGGCGGAGGTGGAGGCGGCGGCAGTAGCGGAGGCGGCGGAGGCGGAGGAGGCGGCGGGGGTGGAGGTGGTGCTGGTCGCGGGTCTTCGCAGAGGAGTGGCTCCGGTGGTGGCTCGCGCCAGCAGCAGCAGCGTGGTCGTGACACCTTGTCCCCTCAGCAGCTTCGTGAGTGGTACACTGCGCGTCAGCGAGGTGGGGGTTTTGGTCCGTGCTCCTACGTTTTGCGCACCGGCGACCGTGCGGGTGAGCAGTGTGGGGGTCCCCACCCCACTCAGCGCTGCTTTGGCCGCCTGACGGACGCGTGGCGTCACCAGTTCCCGGAGGCCTCAGAGATCCCTCGTTGGGGTGACCTGTCCAGGGCGGGTGTTGCCATCTATGATCTTGACTTTGATGCTATTCTCTCTGCCATGTATGCTGTGTCTATTAGTGATGAGGGTGACTGTTACCGGTGTTTCCCGCCCGATCCGGGTATTGAGACTGCTGCTCTAGGTCCTGGTGAGGCTGCTGCCCTAGGTGCTTGCGACGCTGCTGCCCTAGGTGCTCGTGTGTCTGCGTCCTCAGGTACTGGTGAGTCTGCGCTCTCAGGTACTACGTCGGCTTCGGCCTCCCTCAC